CAGGTTTAGGGAACTGTGACCAGTATTTAAGAAAATAGAATTGAATAATATGAAATTGAACTGAAAATATCAGAGTGCATTAGTATATGTGAGGACAACTTGTTTCATAAAATGTATTTCAAAGTTGTATGTGTATAAACTCATATATTTCTTTTTTTTTTTTTAATTGGAGACTCACTCTGTCGTCCAGGCTGGAGTGTAGTGGTATGCTCACGGCCACCGTTGCCTCAACCTGCTGGGCTCAGGTGATCTTTCTGCCTCAGCCTTCCAAGTAGCTGGAACTACAGGCATGTGCCAACAAGCCCAACTAATTTTTTTTGATTTATTATAGAGATGAGGTCTCACCAAGTTGCCCGAGCTGTTCTCGAACCCATGGGCTCAGGTAGTCCTCTCACCCCGGCCTCCCAAAGTACTGGGATTATAGGTGTGAGCCACCGCACCCAACCAATATTTCTTGATGTGGGTCTTAGTTTAAAAAGTGTGTGAAATGAGCTGGGCCTTGTGGCTCACACCTATAATCCGAGCATTTTGGGAGGCAGAGCCGAAAGAATTGCCTGAGCTCAGGTGTTCGAACCAGCCTTGAGCAACATGACAAGATCTCGTCTCTACAATAAGTAAAAAAATTAACAGGGAGTGGTGGCACATGCTTGTGGTTCCAGCTATTTGGAAGGCTGAGGTGGAAGGATCGCTTGAACTCAGCAGGTCGAGGCTGCGGTGGCCATGAGTGTGCCACTGCACTCCAGCCTAGGTGATAGAGTGAGACTCAGACTCAAAAAAAATAAAAAATAAAAAAAGTGTGGGAAGCGGTGTTCTAAGCCAGGATTAAGGTCTTCAGATTGGAGGACAGTTTTTGAGATCTGGACAGGTAGGTGTGGAGGCTGAGGGCTTGGCCTGAGGAGGCAGAAAAATATAGTGCAAGGGTTAAGAGCATGGCCTGTGGAGTCAGGCAGGTCCTGGGTTTGAGTCCCAGCTCTGCCACTTATAGCTACATGGGCTTTAGCATGGCACGTGATCTTACTAAATCTTGGGTTCTACTATAAAATGAGGAGAATGATATTAGAGTAGGTAGAGTTATTATGAAATGTACATGTAAAGCATTTTGAGAAATTGGCAAGTAGTAAATGATGTATACATGGGGACTACTATTGCTGATGCTACTATTTTTGTTGTAGTTGAATGTTATCTTGGGCCCTGAAGGGTCACTATGACTTGGAGAGGGGATAAGAAAGGGCTTCCAAGAAGAGATGGATGAATGACAAGGGATAAGTATGTGGGTGTGTGCCTGGTAAGAGAGAGATCTGAGAATTGTGTGGCCTCAGAAGTGGATGTTGAGATTATAGATAAAAAGATACCTGGAAAATTTTGGGATAACGTAGGAAAGAAAGTTTTAGCTGTAGAAACTGTTTCACAATAGGGTGGCTTCACCTGCAGGTAATGAGGCCTCATTCCTGGAAGAGTTCCAGCAGAGGCTGGGCCACAAGAGACTGATCTTATTAGTCATTTTTGGTTGCAGAGACTCCCTCAGGCCACCTTAAGGAAAGAGGGGTTTTCTGGAGGGTGAGCGAGGCCCTGAGATCTGAGGCTTCACCCAGGGGCCATTTGCTCCCTTATACTGGATCAGCCTCTCTGTCACTAGCACCTGGCTCATGCCCTCTCTCTACTGTCAGGAGGAAACCACTTCAGTGTTTCTACACTGTCACACTATTTGCAAGGACTTCCCCACCCCCCCACCCCCACCTCAGCTTAATTTCACAGTTCCTCTCTGGGCATCCTTAGAGGGTCAAATTCACTATGCAGGGTCCAAGCAAATAAGGAAACTGAGTCTTTGTGAGGGAAGGAGACCTGCATGCTGTAGAAGGGATTCCTGTATCAGACAGCAGTTCGATCAGATGCTTTCCAAGATCCTGACTGACTCAACTGAAGGAGGACATGAACCTTCTGATTTTAAAAAATGGATAGCCTGCAACTTTTCAGGAGCACATGCTGTCCATAGAGACATCTCCCTGTAGTTGTGTGCTGAGAGCATGTTGTATGCTGGGTGCTGGGTATAGCCAAACTTGCAGTGTCTTCCTGCTTACCATCCCCAGGTGTTTTAAACTCTGCTATTCAAGGAAAAGCCATTCAAATAACCATATTTCCTCAAAATGTTCCCAATTTAAGATTTTAAAAATCAAAACATTTTGATTGACATGTACATTTAAAATGGGCTTTTTTGTTTATTTCTGAGAAAATCTTGCCAAATTAATGGTGTAGCTTAAAACCAGTGGTACCTAGAATCCAGGAAATGTGGTGGTTTGTTTTGTACCCTATTGAAATTCCGGTTTGACATTGGGGCTTTGAAACTGCCTGAGCTGTTATCTGGCATCAGTTAAAAGAACTCTCAACTTAAAGTGTTCTGTGTATTCGCAGTAGAATGGGTATCTCTGAGGCCCTACAGTCAGATTTTATCAACAAAACAAGACTGATTGAAGCACACACATTGGTGTGTACTTAATCACATGGGAGTTCTTTGGAAACTGGTAATCTCAGGTGAAAGTCTCGTCCTCTGTGAGCCTCAGTTTCCTCATCTGCGCAGTGGGTAAGATCAGCTGTTATCTATATCCATAACTGCCAGAACTTCCTGTTGACTAGTGCGGGCACCCTTCCATTTAGTTAACTGGAAAGCTCATCCTCTGACTTATTGCGTGAGTGACTGCCTGGTAGGTAGTAGAAGGCATCATGGCCTGGTATGTGTGGGCATTAGTGTCTGCTCCCTGGGTATTTGGGGGTTGTCTGGAGATGCCTGTCCCTTTGTCAATTACCTAAAAGCTAGGTCCTTGCTTTGTTCATATCAGGAAAAGAAAGGAAAGGAGTGATCTTGTGCATTACTGCCTCAAGTGATGAGAAAAAGGGTGACTTGTGTCAATGTATAGAGGGGGCCTCCTTACCCAAGGCTGTAGTCCCTCCTCAGCTATTCAGTTCCAAGGCTGCTTTAAGGCCTGGGCAGTTCCCCAGAAAAAGTGTACAGAAGAAGAGGACCTGCCCTTTTGAGTCTTGGAGGCCTCAGCTCTGCCAGGGCCCCTCCCTCTGCTCTTCCAACCAGTAAAAGTCACAGCAGTGAAAGTCATTTCCTTCCGGCAGAGAGAATCAGAGACTCAAGACTTAGGCCAAGCCCCAAGTCCCAGTCTTGTTCCTGAGAGCCTCCTCCAAGCTGCCTTGAGTGCCTCCGACCCTGTGCTCCTTTCTTTCTTTTTTTTTTTTTTCCTGAGTCAGCGTCTCACTCTGTCGCCCAGGCCGGAGTGCAGTGGCACGCTCACAGCCACCACAGCCTCAAACTGCTGGGCTCAGGCAATCCTTCTGCCTTAGCCTTCCAATTAGTTGGAACTACAGGCGCACGCCACCACACCCAGCTAGTTTTTTAATTTAATTTAATTTTTTTTTTTTGAGTTGGAGTCTCACTCTGTCGCCCAGGCTGGAGGGCAGTGTCATGCTCTCAGCCACTGCAGCCTTGACCTGGTGGGCTCAGGTGATCCTTCCACCTCAGCCTTCTGAGTAGCTAGAACTAAAGGCATGCGCCACCACACCTGGCTAATTTTTTTATTTATTGTAGAGATGAGGTCTCGCCAAGTTGGCTAGACTGGTCTCGAACTCATGGACTCAGGCAATCCTCTCACCTCAGCCTCCCAAAGTGCTGGGATTATTGGCGTGAGCCCCCGTGCCCAGCCTGTGCTCCTTTCTGAGAGGTCAGGCAGCCCTGAGTGCCAGCTCTTGGATTTGAGTCCAGGTTTTTCCACTGATTTGCTGTTTGACTTTGAGCAAGATTCCCTGCCTGGGTATCTTAACCTCTCTCAGCCTTTGTTTCCTCATCTTTCATTAATATTTGATTCTGTCAATACTGTCAAGTACTTTTAAAATTGAAAATAAAAATACAAAAAGTACAAAAAATAATGTGAAAGATCAATAATCCACCACTTAAATTAATTTTAAGAAAAAAGGGTATAGGTATGTATAGAGCAATGCACACATACATTTTGTTGTTTATAGACTAAAATAGTATATGTAGAATGTCTAGCCTGCAAATGTTAGTTTATTCTCTCTGCCCCTCAGAGTTAAGTGAACTTGTGAATTTCTGGGGACTCACTCCTTGGAGGAAGCCCACTCAGTTGATATAATCTCTGACTAAGCCAGGGTTCCTGCCCTAGTCCACCTCCACCTGCTTTCAGGCTGATCTGCATGTCTGGGGTGGGTCTCTGTGCTGAAATGTTGTCCTTAGATTCAGCGCCCACAAGAACATCCACTCCATGAGGGTCGGGACTTTGTTCTAGTTACAGGAATTCATCCCCACAACCCACCCAGAGAGACTTGCTCTAGAACAGTACCAATGCAGTTGTGATAAATGCTCAGTCGAGAGATATACAAATACAATAGGTGGAATTTGAAGGAGCTTTGTAGTGTGTGTAGGATTTTGAGGCGTGGAACACCTTGGGGAGCATTCCAGCAAAGGGACTGGCATGAGTAAAGGTTGAGAGGTGGGAAAAGTTCAAAGCATAACTGGGGAAACTCTGAGTAACTAGCTTGGCTTGAGTGAAGAGGTGAACATGTTATTTCTGTACTTGTTTGACTAGTTTTGGCATCCAACTCTGCACCGTGCACACAGGCTCTCCAAAGAGGCTTATTTACTGAGGCAGACCCAGGAGAGGAATGCTTTGCTTTGGTGCACAGATGCAGATGCTCAGCCTCTGCCTCAGAGAGGCACAGTGACCCCAGTCCCTGGCCACACTGGGAGAGTAGACACTTGAACCCACTGTCTTTCTGGCTTATGTCTTGGAGGGGTGGTGGAACAGGGGAACAGCATTCCCTTTCATCTGCAATAGGGTGTTCATGAGTTAGCAGTCCTAAAGGGAACGGCAAGGATGGAGGGCGGGGGGGAACGGAGAGCCAACCAGGCTGGTGGCTGGGACCAAAGCCAAGGCCTTTGCTTTCCTTGGCACCACTGACAGACCCTGCCCTCTGCTCCACAGGCTGGAGGAAGTCCCCCTGGAGGTGCTAAGGCAAAGGGAGTCCAAGTGGCTGGACATGCTCAACAACTGGGACAAATGGATGGCCAAGAAGCACAAAAAGGTGAGGCGCCTGGCATTGAGACATGGACTGGGAAGTTGGCAGTCTGTAGAGGAGGCAGAGGGAGGAACTTCAGCTTTGGAAAGCAGGGCCTTCAACTGCCCAATGCCTTAGATGTCCTCCAGCTGCTGATGCGGGGACAGAAGTTGGCTGGAGGGCAGAGGGAATGTTGCGTCCTTGCAGATGACTTCAGATTCATGCAGAAATTTGTCAAGGAGTTAAACTTCAAAGCCATTCTTAGCCAGTAGGCCTATAGACAGCTTTTCTCTAGCCTTCCTGGGAGAAAACCTGAAGTACTGCTTACCACCTGTCAGGGAGGCCTTTATAATATATATATTAGCTAATATGTAGGGAACATTTGCAGCGTGCTCGGCACTTGCCTCAGATAATCCTTGCAACAACCTGGTGTGAGGCTAGTAATATTGGTATCTCTACTTTCTGGATGACCTGCAGAATCAAGATTTGAACCCAGGCACCTGCCATCTTACCCACCACAGTAAGGAGCCTTCCTCACCCTCTAGATTAATTTGATTGGCTTTTCTCTTGTCTCTTGGCCAAAGCAGAAAGAAAGAAAAGTAACTTCACAGTTTAATAAATCTCTTTTTTTTTTTTTGAGTCAGAATCTCCCTCTAGCCCAAACGAGTGCAGTGGCATGATCACAGATACAACAGCTGCTGGGCTCATGCAATCCTTCTGCCTTGGCCTCCCGAGTAGCTGGGACTACAGGCATGTACCACCGTGCCTAGCTAATTTTTTTATTTATTGTAGAGACAAGGTCTTGCCATATTGCCCAGGCTTGTCTCAAACTCCTGGGCTCAGGCAATCCTCTTGCCCTCCCAAAGTGCTGGGCTGGGATTATAGGAATTGCAGCGAGCCACTGCACCCAGCCAGTCTTTTTTTTTTTGAGTTGGAGTCTCATTCTGTCATCCAGGCTGCAGAGCAGTGGCACCCTCTCAGCCACTGCAACCTTGACCTGCTGGGCTCAGGCAATCCTTCCAAGTAGCTGGAACTACAGGCCACCATGCCCAGCTAATTTTTTTTTTTTTTTGACTTCTTGGAGAAATGTGGTCTTGCGAAGTTGTCAAACTGTTCTTGAACCCGTGGATTCAGGCAACCCTCTCACCTCAGCCTCCCAAAGTGCTGGGATTATAGGCATGAGCCACCGCACCAGGCCCTTTAAAAAAAAAAAAAAGAGGCCGGGCTCGGTGGCTCAGCCTGTGATCCCGTGCTCTGGGATGCCGAGGTGAGTGAATTGCCTGAGCCCGCGGGTTTGAGACCCGCCTGGGCAACTTGGCAAGACCTCATCTCTACAATAAATAAAAAAAAATTAGCCGGGCGTGGTAGCGCGCGCCTGTAGTTCCAGCTACTTGGAAGGCTAAGGCGGAAGGATCGCTGGAGCCCAGCAGGTCAAGGCTGCAGTGGCCGGGAGCGGCCACTGCACTCCAGTCTGGGTAACTGAGTGAGACTCCAACTCAAAAAAAACCCAAACAAAACAAAACAAAACAAAAAAAAGATACAGGGTCTCACTCTTGTATAGGCTGGAGTACAGTGGTATGATCATAGCTTACTGTAACCTCAAACTCCTGGGCTCAAACAATCCTCCTGCCTCAGCCTCCTGAAGAGTTACGACTACTGGCATGTGCCACCACACCCAGTTAATTTTTTGTAGAGATAGGGTATTTCTTTGTTGTTTAGGTTGACCTCGAACTCCTGGCCTCAAGTGATCCTCCTGCTTTGGCCTCAAAGTGCTGGGATTGTAGGTGTGAGCCACTACACCCAGCTAATAATAGTCTTACAGCCGGGCTCGGTGGCTCAGCCCGTAATCCTGCGCCTTTGGGAGGCTGAGGTGAGTGGATTGCCTGAGCCCACGGGTTCGAGACCCACCTGGGCAGCGAGACCTCATCTCTACAATAAATCAAAAAATCAGCCGGGTGTGGTAGCGCATGCCTGTAATTCTGGCTACTCGGAAGGCTGAGGTAGAAGGATCACCAGAACCCAGCAGGTCGAGGCTGCGGTGGCCGGGAGCGGCCACTGCACTCCAGTCTGGGCGACAGAGTGAGACTCCGACTAAAAAAAAAAAATAGTCTTACAAAAATGAAAATATCCAGTAGTCCTTTTCTAGTCAGACGATCTTTAGGCACCACCTCTGTCACCCCATAGGAACATTCTTGCCCACCACTCTTGAATATGTGTTGCTGTCCTGGCTGCCCTTGGGATGGTCTAGTCCCTTGACCTAGAGGATGCCTGTGGAGAGCCTCATAGCCTGAGTCTGTACAAGTTCCCACTGCACAGAGTGAACCCTATTGCCTGCTCTTGTTAGCAGACACATTGGTATGGTCCAGACTGCAAGGCCTAGCAGAAAACTCAGGACTGTAAGTCAGGTATGGGCCTGGGCTCAGCCCTACTCCCTTCCTCTCTTCACGCCTATGGCTAGTTGTGTACCTTTTGGGCAAGTCTCTTCACCCTCTCAGTCTCAGTTTCTCTGGTTAAGTGGGAGTGATAATCCTGTTGCCAGGTTCCTGTGAGGTGGTGACTATAAGTGCTTCATAGGCTGGGGAGCCTTGTGCCATAGGAGGAGAGGCTCACCCAGACCTGGGTTCTTTTTCGCGGTTCTATGTGGGCTTTGGGGACACTCATTTATTTTTTGCTCATTAGAAAATCTTTCTCTCTCTCTTAAAAAAAAAAAATTAAGGCAGTTATTCCTAAGCTACTTCCTGCTTTGACTCTGCGATCTGTTTTCCTGCCTCGCCACTCCTCAGGCTCTTACCCCAAGCTGTAACTTGCTCTGCTGCTCTCTGTTGTGGTGACTGGTGGTTGGCAGGTACTGTGGCTCTGGCCTTCTTGAAAATGGGGATTTCAGAGAGGAGCTTTGGGGAGCTCCTCTCAGCAGAACCCCTGGCCAGCTGAGGCCTCCACAGGTGGCCCTAACTACCTGAAGACCCTAACCCACTGCTCCCCTCCAGACCAAGACCACCACCAGGCAACCTTCCTGCTACCTCAGCTGTAGCTATACCAGGCCCTTCCTTGGGAACTTTTCTGGCCTGCCTGTGGACACTTGGGCTCTCCCTCTGGTCCGGCAATCATGGCACAGGAAGGAAAATACCTGTTTCAGGAAGTGGGCTCAGGTTCAACACCTCTCCTGGACTCATACATAGCCCTGCTGGGAGGGTGTTTTTTTCCCTTCCTCCCACCTCTCCTTCCCCAGCTGTGTCCAGGACAGAATTCTTGGCCCGCAGGGAGGCAGGGCTGTGGCTGGAATGCTGTCTTCCCTGTAGGGCCCTGCCTTGGGGTCTGCGTAAGCAGCAGCCCTGCCCTCACAGAGTTCAGCAAGCAAGGGTGTGGCCTTGCTTAGCTTTCGTCAGAGACCTCCTTTCCAAGCCTTTTCTCAGAGAATGGTAGTCCTTTGCTGTTACTGGGAATACTTTCTCATGCTTTATTCTTACTGATTCCACCATTTTCCCTAAGGTGGGCAGAGTAGAGGTGACCATCTCTAGCACGTTTGTGCTGAGAAAACTGGAGACCAGAGTGGGAAAGTTCTCTGTCCCTAACCCCTAGGACTTCAGTGAGGGTAGGGCCTTTTTGAGAACCTTAGTAGACAGAAAGTGATCAGGGCTCTCCTGGAGAAGGCCAAGTATGCTGGGGGTTGTGATGATGTGGAGGCTGCCTCTTGGCGAGCTTGGCCCTGGGAGAAGCTCGAAGGGCCTGTGGCTCCGGGCTGTACCATATCCCTTTGCCAAAACCTGGGCTAAGCAGCTTCCTTAAGGAGACCTGTGTCCCACAGCAGCAGGAAACTTCCCTGAGACTAGGGCAGTTCCCTTCTGCTCCCTTCCTCTTCCCACTTTCCAGGCAGTCCCAGAAGCTCTCGCTTGGAGCCTGTGACCAGCCACTGCTGCTCTTCCCCCACTGCCCTCAGCCTGTCTGCCTGACTCCTTCCTGGTTCTTGACTCTTTCTGACCCTTGGAAAATTTTCCCTTGTTTGTGCTGGTCATCAGGAAGGCCAGGGCTTTTGTGCTCCCCCCCCTGAGAGCTTCCAGCAGGACTGTTGAGGGGGTTTCCAGGTGAGGGGAAGTTAAGTATGTGCTGGGGCCCTGGAGTGTCTGTGTCAGCGTTCTCCTGGGATGGAGGGGCAGAGAGGAAGCTGTCACTTGCTGAGCACGATCTGTGTGTCAGGCTCCATGCTAAGCATTTTTTCCCTTCTGATGGAATCCTTTCAACAACTCTGCAGAGCATTAGGTATTATCATTCTGATCTTACAGTTAATGAGAAGTGACTGGCTCAAGATCAGCACTGGATTTAAACCTGTATCCAGATGTTCTTCTCATGCCTGAGCACTCACCTGCCTTATCCCAGGTCAGGCTGCTCAGTGCAGGGGCTGAGGGCCTCCTCCCAACTCCTTGCCACAACATTCCATAGGAGTGGTTCCCCTGCCATTGTCCCCAGCCTCCTTGACAGCACAGCTGCTTTTGGAGTCTCATTCTGACCCCAAGCCCAGGGGGAGCCCACCTCCCCCATCCACCTCTGAGAGGCCAGTGAAGTAGAAAGTGCACAGGGCTGGATCCCTTTGGCCTGTGTAGTACAGCTAGGAGGTAGTAGGGTCACTGACTGACCTCAATTTTTCCCATTCTATGCCTCAGTTTCCCCATTTATAAAAGACATGATAGTTTTTCAAACTGGGCTGTGGTGATAGAAAACTTTTTCTGATTAAAAAAAAAACGGCTAGCCTGAATTGAGCACTATCATTGGGTCATGAGCTCCTCAAATACTTCTTCCCTCAACTTCTCCCATTCTATGAGTGGCAGGAAAGACCTGGGCTACTTTAGCAAGGGCCAGGATCAGGACTTATGCCCAGACCAGCTGCCTGTGCCCCAGACTTAGGGTCAAGGAGAGGAGAAGCGAGGGGATTCCTGACCAAAACAAAGAGAGAACGATTTGAGCAGCGCCCCTCTTCCTTCTGAGTTCTGCTGAGATTTCCCTCCCCTCTTCTGAGTTCTGCTGAGATTTCTCCCCTCTGGACTGGCTGTGTCCTGCCACATGACTGCTAAAACCAGCATCCCTGTGAAAGTACCTGGGCCACATTATGGCTCATCTTGTATACTACTTTCCCTGTGACTGCAGCTGCGACCACAATGTATTTTTTTTTTTTTGAGTTGGAGTCTCACTCTGTCACCCAGACTGGAGTGCAGTGGCCGCCCCTGACCACCACAGCCTCGACCTGCTGGGCTCCAGCGATCCTTCCTCCTCAGCCTTCCAAGTAGCTGGAACTACAGGCGCGTGCTACCATGCCCTGTAGTTCCAGCTACTTGGAAGGTTGAGGCTGAAGACCCAGCTAATTTTTTGATTTATTGTAGAGATGAGGTCTCGCCAAGTTGCCCAGGTGGGTCTCGAACCCGCGGGCTCAGGCAATCCACTCACCTCAGCCTCCCAAAGCACGGGATTACAGGCTGAGCCACCGAGCCTGGCTTAGTTTCTTCCCTGATGGCAAACCATGGGGCTCACCCAACTTGTATGGTTTCATTTTGACTTAGAAAGTAGGTATGAGGGTCTAGAATTTGGTGGTAGACTTCAGGAATGTCTGTGTTGTCTGTCACTGGATCAGGGGATGTGGGACTCTGCCATCACCTGGTGGCAGCATATCTAATTGCAGTCATTCCCCTCCACCATCATGGGATCTGCATTGTAGGAAAGTCCTCTTTTCCCCCTGTTTCTGCTATTGCCGATACGTGCACTGAAGACTTACCAAGTACTGTAGGGGTGCTGGGCTGGGGGAGCTGCCTGGGTGGACACAGTTGTCCTTTTGACTTTCAGATCCGTCTGCGGTGCCAGAAAGGCATCCCACCTTCTCTGCGGGGCCGTGCTTGGCAGTACCTATCAGGAGGCAAGGTGAAACTGCAGCAGAACCCTGGAAAATTTGACGTGAGTCTCCCTTCCTTCACTCTACCCTTCCTTCTGTGTCTCTTGGTGGCCTCCCCATGTAGCGATCCTCCATGTACTCACCTGAACCTCAGCAGGACAAGCAATCCATGGAACATACCTCAAGCTTCTTCAGTGCCCAGTGTGCCTGACTACCTGGACCCCAACAGACCAAACTGGCTCAGTCCTGGGTGCTTGTGACTCTTCAGGGCTCTGTACATTTGAGGCTCCAGCCCTGAGTAGCCCTCAGTGGGGTAGACAACTTTGCCACCCCTCATTCCAGCTCTTTCTCTTGACAGCCACTCAGGTTTTGCTTCCTTGGGCTCAACAGCTCTTGGTCGTCAGGAGGGGACACTCAGAGGCTCTTTGCTAACTGCCCTGGGCCCTAAACTCTGCCTTTGGAGGCTTGCTCAGCAGGACCTGAGGACCCGCAGCACTTCCTGGTCTCCCATCCTTTACTCTGTCTCCTGCTTTGGCCAAGCCTGGTCAGACAAAGTCCACTTGTGCAGCTTGCAGGGTTTTCAGCCCTGGGGGTGGCAGAGTCAAACCCAACTATCCCCAGGGGTCAGAAGCCAGTCAGTAGCCAGAGACAGTGCCCTCTGTTATCATGCCTCCCCCATCCCCCTTCTGCTGCCCCCGCCACGACATTCCATAGGAGTGGTGCTTCTGCCGTTGCACCCAGCCTCCTTGACAGCACAGCTGCCTTCAGAGCCTCATTCTGGCCTTAAGCCCAGGGGGAGCCCACCTCCCCCGTCTACCTCTGAAAGGCCAGTGAAGTAGAAAGTGGCCAGAGTAAACTATCTCTCTATTTACTAAGTGGGGCAGCTCCTCTAGGCTGTTCCCTTAGGGAACTATGGGGAGGCTGCTGGCTTTCCTGGGGTTGCCCCAGCTTACCTGCCAGACCAGGCCCCAGGCATCAGGGTTTCTACAGGCCCCTGGGACTGGCAGTGAGACAGAGCTACTAGCTACCAGCTCTTTGTTGACATACCTCGTGATTCTTTGGTGGACACTCCTGTCCTGCTAAAACTATTCTCTGAGAAGGGTGGATAGCTGCCGGGCAAGGCAGCCTAGAGCTTCTGCTATTGGATCTGGAGGAGGTAAGAGTTGTTTGCTAGCAGCACTTGGCTTTGTGGGAGCAGAGGCTGGTGGAGTGTCTGGCTAGGGCAGCTCTGAGTTAGGGCAATTGGACTATCCCCCAGACACCAATACCAGGTCTCACTAAAATGGCCTCTTGACTTGAGTATTCCTCCCGATGGCTCCCTCTTCTCCATTTCAAGGGGCTGCATCCTGGGAAGAGCAGGAGACTTGGCTGCCAGAGCCTACACAATGAGAGCGAAAATGTGGGAGGCCTGGTCAGCCTCCTGGCTGCACTGTACAGCAGGTGTGAGTGAGCCCACAGTGCGTGCAGCAGAGTGTGGAGGTGTGTGCATCTGTGTGCAGAGTTGGCCACCCCTGTGGGGTCTGGGAGATTGCTTGTGTTAGGAGGTAGATTTGCGGAAAAAGACCATCTTGATGCACTGAAGCAAAGTAGCAGGTTCCCACAGCTGTCCAGGGGCCAGAAGAGTGGTTTGCAAGCACACCTGAAGGATTTTGTCTGTGGGTGACCTCGAGGAAGCATGAGAAGCTCTTTCTGCCTGCTTTGGGTACATGAGCTGGGATGGGGTGCAGTGAAGGGGCTATGGTGGCAGCATGTGCCTGTTCCTGTGCTCCCTCTTTCACTCAGAGCCCTCCATTCAACATGGAGTCCAGGTGACCGACTCCAACCTCAGTAGTCAGGGCAGGTTCAACAGGCCCTGATGGCTCCATCTTCTGCACTTGTTGCTTCTTCCTTCTTCCTTGGGTAGGCAGGACCTTCCTGTCCTTTTTCACTTGGTTTTCTCTTCTGGCTTCACCCCACGATGGTACCAGCACTTCTCAGACTGGCGGAGGCTGCAGGTCCAGTGACTGCCGCACCTGACTTTAATTCTCAGCATCCTTTCTCACCAACACATGGGGCCAAGTGCCCTGGGCTGCTAAGGTACCAGATGAGCACATCCTAGGAATTTACTTCTGGGGTTCTCCAGCCCCTACCTCATGAGAACTACCAGGAGAATTTGTGGGGTCCTCCCCTTTCTGATGAAAGCTGCATTGTGCTCAGATAGTACCAAGGGGCGGACAGGACACAAAGCCCCATTTTGAGGGCATGTGGAGCTCCAGAGGGTACACACCTACCTCTGTTCTGTATGCCTGCTCCACTCTATGGAGACCCCGCCCCTCCCTACGCCCTCCAACCTTCAGCACTCCGTACCCTTTCTTCTCAGTACTTTCTCTCTAGTCAACTTCCTGGCACCCTACTTCTTTAGCTTAATATTGGGAAACCCCTACTGAGAGGCACATGAAGGAAAGGGGCTTATATGTGATATAATGCACCTGAGTCCTGAATGAAGCGCCTAGAGGTTATCCAGCCACAACTGGGGCGGGCACTCTTGCCCACACAGGTCTTCCCAGAGCCAGGATCCCTCCTCAGGGTTTTCAGGGCCTACAGGTCAGGGCCTGTGTCTACACCCATTCCGTGTGTTTGCCAAGGACTTGGCCTCCCTCCTGAGGGCTTCCCCGATGCTGCCCCTGCCTGGCAGGCAACTTGTACTTGCTCTGCTTCCCTGCTCAGCCCTCTGCATCTCCTCCTTATGTATTTTTTTCTTTTTATTTTATTTTATTAAAAAAAATTTTTTTTTGAGTCAGAGCCTCACTCTGTTGCCCAGGCTGTAGTGCAGTGGCATGGTCATAGCTCACCTCAGTCTAGCCATGCTGGGCTCAGATGATCCTTCCACCTCAGCCTTCCAAGTAGCTGGGACTACAGGCACGCACCACCACACCAGGCTAATTTTTTTATTTTATTGTAGAAACAAGGTCTCGCCATGTTGCCCGAGCTGGTCTCAAACTCCTAGACTCAGGCAGTCCTCTCACCTCCCTCTCAGATTGCTGGGATTATAGGCATGAATCACCATGCCTGGCCCTATTTTTATTTTTAACTTAAGGTATTAATTTACATAGAGTAAAATGCACAGATCTTGAGTGTGCAGTTCAGTGAGTTTTGACAAGTAATACACATCCATGTAATCAACATGCAAATCAAGACAGGGAACATTTCAAATGACCAAGATTTTTTTTGTAATAGCTCTGTTGTTTATATAAAAGTACACATGCCAGAATGTTCACAGAAGTTCAAAAAAAGGAGTAAAATTTGGTTGAAACCCCAGCACCCAGAGAAGCATATGAGGTCAGTAGTTTGATGATATCATATCCTTCCAGACAGTGCTCTGTGCAGATCACTCACACACACACCCCTTCCTGAATCGGTGATGCCACCTGCACAGGGAGGCAAGCTGCAGAGGAGCTGGGATCGACAGCTCTGAGTCAGACCTGGCTTCTGGTCCCCGTTCCACCATTTTTCTATCCACAAGGCCTTGGGCAAGTGACTCTTCTTTGACATTCAGTTTTCTCATCTGTGAACACAGTATAATGATATGACCTGTCTTTGGAGGTTGAGTCAGTGTGGCCCACTGGTGCTCCTACTCTGCTCAGCACCTGACTCAAAGCAGTGGCAACAGGTGGTAGCTATGGTGTGAGAAGCAGCCTTTCATCTTAAGGATGTAACATAATGTATCTGAGTCCTGAATTAAGTGCCTAGAGGTTTTCCAGCCACAGCTGGTGTGGACACTCTTGCCCACACAGGTCTTCTTAGAGCCAGGATCCCTCCTCAGGGTTTCTAGAGCCCTTCCCACCTTGCCCCTTGGCCCATATCCAGGCATCCTTACTTTGGCTTCCCTACCTGTCCTCAGGAAGGCCTAGTCCATGATGGGATTGGGTGGGCATTACTCCTGCTAGAGGGCTCCTTCAATACCTGGGACAGCAGTGTCCTGTCAGGAGTGTCCCTTTTTCATTATCCCCAGCCCCTAATGTGTGTCCCTGCCTTTGCTTCTAGGAGTTGGACATGTCCCCTGGAGACCCCAAGTGGCTGGATGTGATTGAGCGTGACCTGCACCGGCAATTTCCTTTCCATGAGATGTTTGTGTCCCGGGGAGGCCACGGGTGAGCAGGCTTGGCCTTGTGGGCTGGGAGGTGGCTCCAGGTCCTGTCCCTCAGGGGGTAGAGGAGGTACAGTGAGTCTGGGGTATCTGAGGTTCAGAAGCTGGGTGCCCAGAACTCTACTGTTAGTATTTCCCTTTTTTGCTTTGAGTCTGATGGGTGCTCTTAGCATCTTCTGTTACCTGTGGAACAGCTTACATCATTGCTTCCCCAGAGTGCGAGAGCTTTTCCAGACTGGGCCTCTTCTAGAAACAGGTTTTTCTGGGGAGAAAGATTAGAGGGAGCTGGGTGAGCTGAGAATATGCAGGAGAAGAGAGATGGGGCAGGCAACAGGATCAAGTCAGACGCTGGGGACAAAGCTGGCTGGCTGAGGAGCTCAGGTACCAAGCTCCAGTCCCTGTCACATCTTATCCTGTGTCTGGCATCCTGCCCTGGCCCTGCTTTCTCTTTAAGCCTCTTTCCTCATCTGTCATGGGGGAGCCCTTGCCCATCTCCCTTCTCTCATCATATGAGAGTCCATGAGCTGCAGTGAGAGACTGACCCCTTGGTGGCCACAAGCAGGTCACCTCCCCTCTCCAGGGAAGTGCAGATTTTGAGGCAGCTCTGGTCCAGTGGGGCACTGGTGAGAGTAGTAGGTAGCAGAGTCATACCTGTCACTACTGCCATGCCTGGCCTCTCCATAGCCAGCAAGACCTGTTCCGTGTGCTGAAGGCCTATACACTGTACCGACCTGAGGAGGGCTACTGCCAGGCCCAAGCACCCATCGCCGCTGTCCTGCTCATGCACATGCCTGCTGAGGTACCACCAGGACCTGGGCAGGCGGGTGGGTAGGTGGAGAACCCCCAGCAGCAAGGCCTTACATCTCTCTTGCCCACAGCAAGCCTTCTGGTGCCTGGTACAGATCTGTGAGAAGTACCTGCCTGGCTACTACAGTGAGAAACTGGTGAGTGATTGCCTGGCCTGGGACCTTCCCAAGCTGGATGCCCGCTGTGGCCCCTCCAGGCCTTTCTCTCCACAGTACCTCCTGCCTAGGTTAAAACCTTGCCAGCCTTCTGTTGCCTTCAGGCTGAAGTTCCAAGGCCTGTCGGGGTCAGGTTTCTTGGGCTCCGGCATCATCGGCTCCACACTCATCTCTGTCTCTGCCTCCAGCTGCTCTGGCCACTTGTCAGGTTCGAAGTTCCTCCAGGGCATCGAGTTCCTCCCTGCCTCAGCCTTGGCCTAGGCTTAAACCTCTGCCTGGAAGCTCTGTTCCCCTGTCTGTCCCCTGAAAACGCCTTTGCTTCAGCTTTTAGCCCTTGAGGAGTGTCTTGACCCTGACAGGCGGGCCCCTCCTGCACATGCTCGAGAACCTTCCTGTTCTTGCCTTGTCCTGGGCCCTGAGGCTCCCCACCACCCCCATCTCTGCCCATGTGCCCCCTCTCACTGTAAGCTCCAGGAGGGGACCAGCTGTCTCTGGTCTGCTTATTATTGTATCCCAGTATCCCAGCACCCTGCAGAGGCTGGCACCCTGCGGGCAGTAGCTGCCTAAGGAATGAATGAATGTCTGCCTGGTGCTGGAGCTGGGGCTGGGGTGTGGTCCCTGCCCTGGCTTCTGCAGGTCATGGCCCCGTGGCCTCAATGTCTCCCCAGGAGGCGATTCAGCTGGACGGGGAGATCCTTTTCTCGCTGCTGCAGAAGGTGTCACCAGTGGCCCACAAGCACCTCAGCCGGCAGAAGATTGACCCACTGCTCTACATGACAGAGTGGTTCATGTGCGCCTTCTCCCGCACCCTGCCCTGGAGCTCCGTGCTGCGCGTCTGGGACATGTTCTTCTGTGAAGGTGCTGGCCTAGGGTGGGGAACGCCCCTGCCCCTAGCCAGCCCACAGCGGGCCTCTCTTTCCAGAGAAATCTCCTCAAGGCCCCTAGCACTCACTACCTACCCCCATGCAGGAGTCAAGATCATCTTCCGGGTGGGGCTTGTGCTGCTGAAGCATGCGCTGGGCTCCCCTGAGAAGGTCAAAGCCTGCCAGGGCCAGTACGAGACGATTGAGCGACTGCGGAGCCTCAGCCCCAAGATCATGCAGGAGGCCTTCCTGGTCCAGGAGGTACAGCCCACACCTGCTCCTTGACACGAGAAGGGAGAGGGACATGGTGGGGGTCCTTTAAAGGAGGCCTGTTAGTCCTTTGACCCCGCAGGTGGGTCACCTGCACCAAGCCACTGCTCAGCAGTCCAGGACGGTGTGGGGCCCAGCGAGGCCCAGTTTGGCAGGGCCTTCTTTACCTGACTCATAAACCCTCTTCCTCCCTGGTAACACATTCACAGCCCTGGTTCTATTTTCCCTCTTTTCTTGCTTTTTGGATACTTGTCTCTGAGGGACTATAATGAGGTAGCACATGTGTGGCCAGCTTCTATGGGTTGAGCCGAAAGGCTGGGGGAAGGGCTGATGCCAGTGTGTGGGGCAGAAGAGCAGTGTTCATTTTTGCATCTGTTTCTCCTAACAGCTGTGGCATTCCCCATTTTTACACATGAGAAAACGGAGGCTCACAGAGGCAGGATCACTAAGCAACTCCCCCCAGAGTCACCTAGCAAGAAGGTAGTGGCCTGGATTTGAGCCTAGGCTGCCAGGCTGCCCTGGTCAGTGGTAGGGGACAGGTTGGTCAAGAGCAGGTTTTGTCCTGTCTGAGCTATACCCCTACTGTCACTACTGAGGTAGGCAAGTGGGTCTCAAGTGTCTGGCTTACCTGGCGCTCAGCTCTGGGACTTGTGACTGTAGCTGAGAACTGGACCCCCATCCTGGGGTCAGTGTTTTACAGCCAGGGCTAAAGGATGCTGAGGGAGAGCAGAAGCCCAGGCTGAGAGGCAGAGAGGGGAAGGTCCTTCTTCCTGGTGCCCAATGCTTGTCACTGTCCCTGCAGGTGGTAGAGTTGCCTGTGACAGAGCGCCAGATTGAGCGTGAGCACCTCATCCAGCTGCGGCGCTGGCAGGAGACGCGGGGTGAGCTGCAGTGCCGCTCCCCGCCCAGGCTGCACGGCGCCAAGGCCATCCTAGATGCAGAACCCGGCCCCCGGCCCACCCTGCAACCTTCACCGTCCATCCGCCTACCCCCAGATGCCCTGCTCCCTGGCTCCAGAGCCAAGCCCAGGCTTCCCATGCAGGTTCAGAAGGAGCAGCGGAAGCAGACGAAGGCCAGTGGGCAGCAGGACAAGACTCTGGCCCCAAATCAAGCCTTGATGGTGGCCGCTGCAGGAGATGCATGTCCCCCACAGCACATGCCTCCAAAGGACCCGGTCCCCCAGGACCCAGTCCCTCAGGACTTAGCTCCCCAGGACTCAGCTCACCACCACTCCCAGGAGAGCCTGACATCCCAAGAGAGTGAGGATACCTACTTGTAACCTCGGCAGCTCAGGCCCCCGGGGCGGGGTCTCCATATACCTACACGGTTCATGGACTGACACTCCAGGGCTTGCCCACCCTTTGAGGGCCAAACCCCCTGGCTGCTTGCCCGAGATAGAGTCTGCCTGAGCCTCCTTATTTATTTTCTCTAGAGTGGAACTCAGGCTGGCCCAGCCAGGGCAGGCAGAAACCAGGGCCAAGTGGGTGGGGCCTCACTCAGCCCTCTCCTCCTGGGGGCTAGGATGCTGCTGCGAGGGGAGAGGGTGGGGTGCTCTTTGTGTAAAATAGAAACGTGTTTTGTACAGAAATAAACATGCTTGTGTAGAGAGCTGGTGTGCAGCTGGGGGCCAAGAAAGAAGCACCACCCTGGTGCTCAGCGTCTCTTCACAGTGCCCTGCAGAGCCCCCCATCCTGGGCCCCAGCCCAGTACCACAGCCTTTCTGAGAAGTACCTTTTCCAGAGGAGTTGCCAAGCCCAGGACCAGCCCTTGTTCTTAGCCCTCATTTTCATTCACCCTATCCTTGCTACACCATGTTCACCTTCTTCCATGGACAAGGGACACTAGCGCTGGAGCCCAGTGCTGTGGCAAAGCAGGGCGTGCTCCCTGGGCCTGGGTCCCTAAGAATCACCAAGGGGAAGAGGGCTCCTTGAGGAGGAGGTTTCAGGGTCTTCCTCCTCCAAGACCTGGCCTGGGTGCCACCTCAGGCCCCAGTAAACTCTGAGCACTCATTCTGACCCAGTGCTGACACCAGGGGTGGAGTATCATGAATGTCTTCACATGCTCAGCCCAGGCCTCCATCTGAGGCAGAAGGGTGAGGGGAAAAATCTGGGTCTTTGTTAAAATGCCAACTTCCATTCACTGAGAGCACTTGCTCTGTCCAGACTGGATGGTCAGGTAGGTTCTCTTGGCCCTGTTTTACAGATGGCAAACAGGAGCTGAGTGGGAAAGGAATCTCCCCTGCTCGGGAAAGCCGAGGCAGATGTGCACCCAGAGCCCCTCACTTGGCTCCCTCTCCTAACCAGGGTTCCAGGTGACCTCACTCTGCCATTGAGGGCTCAGGCAGGCACTTCGGTCACAACTTGATGACTGGGAAGGGCGAGGACAGAGTGTCCCTGGGAGAGGCCCCCCCTCTGCTGAGGAAGCAGCTTTTCCAGTCAAACAATAGCGGCTGTTCCTGGCAGACAACCAAGCTGGGCCAGACTGGGCCATGTGGGAGGGGGCAGGGGAGGAGGAGCCGCATCTCCCTGAGAGCTTTTAGGCATTGCCTCAGCTTGGTACAGCTGGGGATACTGAGGTTTAGGGAGGAGAAGGGTCACAAGAGACTATCAGGGCAGGCCGCCCCACTTCCTGCCTCACTCCTATGGTTTCCACTTCATCTGTACCTGCCATTGATGAGATGGGATCAGCCTTGGAGAAACTCTCCTCTCCCTAGTCCTCCATGGGACAGGCCAGGATGTGGCGACTACACAGTGTTCCACAGGAATGTGCCGAGCCCCAGAGTCCAGGGAGGAGACTTAACTTGGCTTCCATCTGCCTATGGTGAAAGCTTCAGAGCAGGCAGGAGGCCTGCTCAGGCCTGCTGGGACCTAGTCAGGCTTGAAGCCTGTTTTAACCTACTTGGTTCAAGCCCTCACATCTGAGGCTTCAGGGTGCTCAGACCAGACAAGGGCCCCCTGTTGCATGCTCAGCCCTGCTATGGAGCCAGCCTTGGCGTGCTGATGCCTGCTCAGCCTTGCGGTCTTCTTAGACCTGCAGAGGCCTGAAAAGATCTGGGGTGTCTGCCGGTGCTAGCAGCCTCCTTGGGCCTGAAGCAAATTTAGATGTGTTCAGGCCAGTTGGGTTCTGCTAATGGCTGCAGGCCTTGGGGAGGCCTCAGCAGGGCTCGTGTCTGCCTGAGTACCCAATGAACCTGGGCTGCATGGGCCTGCCTGGCAAAGTCTGAGCCCTGAGCATTCCTGGTTCAAGCACTTGTGGGCTTGGTTTGTATTGAAGGATCTTGAGCCTTAGGCCGTGGCCACCTTCAGTCCCTGAACCCAAAGTATGTTGCTCAGGCAGAGATGGCTGGGACTCTCCTTATCTCTGTGCCCCTGGCAGGGAGCCTTCTACTCTGAAAGTTGGGTGACAGGAACAAGTTGGGCCACCAAGCCAGGTTTCAATTTGCCAGCCCACTTGCAAAGCGGGAAGTGGTCACCTATCAACACCAATCCTGGGCTGGCGGCCCTGCCCCCTGCCCAGCCATGAGAAAGAGAGAAAGGTGCCTAGGACACTTGGGAGCAAATACAGGGTCTGCTGGGGATGCACTGCAGACTTGTGCCCCTCCAACCTCCAGGGATCTAGGGGCAGCCTTCCGGTCCCAGCCGAGCTCCAGTTCATCTCGCGGCCGTTTTGAGTCTCAGTGACCTCAATCATAAGACTCACGTGTAGGCCTCAAGAACGTTAACCTCCACTTGCCTCCAGGACACTCCCACTCCCAGGGCGGCGAGCATCCCGCGGAAAGGGCGGGGCTTAGGGGACACGGTAGGGGCGGAGCCTGGAGGACTCGAAGAGGGTGGGGTCAGGCCGTGATGCCCAAGCCAGAGCTAAAGGGGCGGAGCCATCTGGGGCCTGGAAAGCTGGGTGAGGTCCTGACGGGCTAAAGCAGGCGTGGCCACCCCGTAGACCTCGCTTCCCGTAGGGCGTGGCTGTCAAAGAGCTGGGCGCCTCGCCGGGCTGGGCGGGTCCGCTGCGTCCGGGCGGCGTGGACGCGGCCGCGCTGCGGCTCCTTTAAGCCCCGGGCACCGCCCC